ATCTTTCTCTAATGCAAATATAATTCTTTTTTTAAAAAAATTCAGAATGTTTTACATTCTTAAATCTGGCACAGGTACTCATGGAAATGACACTGTTAAATATTACACGTGTGAAATACATCAATAAGAGATTTACTCCCCAGTGTGGCCAGGCTTCAGCAACAAGGGTTTTGTGCACTGTGGACAGATTACTTTCACCACAAAAACTCAGTACTATCTGCATTTTGCCCGACTTAGCTTGCGTGTGATTTCTTGTTTAAAAAAAAAATAAAGAGGAGAAACCCTATATTCTACACAACAGCTCATTATTATGAAAAAAATTGCAAAGCTGAAATGCTACTTTAAAAAAAAAAAAAGCCTAACAATTCCGCTTCGTCCTGGTGGGTCAGTAAATGAATCACAAGGGATTGCTGTTAGGGTAGGAAAATGTAGATCTTTGAGGTAGGAGGAATGTCAGGCTAATTTTGGAGGTTATGAACCTTTTAGGAAACAATCATCTCAACTTGTAAGTAGGTCTCTTTTCTCACGAATAACCTGATACTGCTAAAAAGGCTCATCTCCGAAATTACAGCCTGGCCCTTATGTAATGGACGAGAAATATTTGCAGAATCATCCAGCCTGTTTGGAAACCACAAAGCAGTGCCGCTGTCTCTGTCATCTCTGCCTGCTGCAGATCTTGGCCCAGCCAGCCAGGGCATCCAGAAGCCCACTGAGCCCTAGGGTGCATCAGCCTCGGGCCAGCAGCGCATGTACAGGTTGCGATGGGTCACGCACCCAGGACCTCACTCAGCCCTCGAGGTTGGCTTCTCCTCTGCCTTCCTCCTGCTCTCCCATCATCCTGGATTCTGCTGTGTCACCAGCCACACGATGCTGTGGCCCAAAACCTGCCGTCTGCACTTTCCACCCAATTCCTGCGCTTTGTCTCCTAGTTCTGGGTGTCCCCGGGCACTGAATGCCACCTCTCCTGGGCTGGAGAGCCAGCAACTCAGGCAGGTTTTGGGGAGCTGACACCTTTCTTCTCTGTTCTCTCCCCTCCTGGGCCCCTTCCCTAGTTGGTGCCCCGCCTGAGTCCACAGACCCCCTGGTGTGTCCAACCCAGGCTTCTACCTCTGATCCCCTTCCCTGTCCCGGGAAGTCCACTGCTGCTGTCACAGTTGTCTCCCAACACATCTTTTCATTCCTCTGTGGCCCCATCGCTCAGTGTCAAGACAGGTTCTTGAAAAGTGGAAGTGAAGCCAGCGTTCCATTTGCTTTCATTTTCATCTCAGCTGCACTTGAAGAGTTTGTCACCCCCAGCTCTGTCGATAGTCCCCTCCCACTCCAGTTCCTCTCTCAGTTCCGGCTTCTGCTCAGAAAGCAGACTGGCTTGTCAGCTGGCAGCCAGGTAGGCTGAGCCGTCCCCTCCAGGGGAGCACGTGAGGCCCAGCCCAATTCAGAAGAGCATCGGCAGATTGCACCTGACACAGTGTGCCCACAACAGAAGAGCAGCCATTGCTCGGAAATCAGCTCGGCCCTCTGGATGGCCAGGGCTCACTGAGAGGCTCGTCGGGGCCTGGACTTGCTGCAGGCCCACTTCGAAGCTCTGAAGACCAGGGAGGCGGGCACCGCACGCAGTGTGCTGGTGCTGATGTCTCTGGACCTGGGGCCTCTCTTGGCCAGGCAGGACTTTCCCGAGCCTTTGGATGCATGTGCAGAGCTTGCCAAACCTGGCCAACCACAGGTCCTTTTTGCTGTCTTCCAGAGCATTTTCCAGATCTACTGTTTCAAGGTCACATTTTGGGAAACTACCTCTAATATTTATATTTACCACATAAAAATGTAAAATTTAAACATTTCCATGCATAAAAGAAAAAAAATGAAAGTACCCCCTTGCATATGTCTTCTCAGAAATTTTTCAGACAACAGGTAAAGTTGGAGATACCTTCTAATTTACCTGTACCCAAGATTTTCTGGACATATTTTATTTCTAGAGACAGCACCTTTTTAGAAGATTGCATGATCTCAGTTTCTGTTGTGAGGAGACAGCTTATTCTCTCATTTGTAGGGAGGAAAAAGTTCAGGCCCAGGGAAATGGTTTTTTTCTCAAGGTGGTAGAAAATATATTTACCTTCCATTTTGTAAATGAGTGTTTTCTCCTAAGTAGCTAAAGAAAAGGAACATGGTTTAGGATAAAGATTATCCAGAAATAATTGAAGCAATGAAACCTGTTAAGTGAACTCTTACATATTACTCTTGGTGGATTGCTTTTTATAAATACACTTGTTGAAGTAGTTTATGAACAGAAAAACCAGACCTGTTCTGTTTGAGCTGAGATTATTCAGCCCCTCGCTGCCCTTCCCAAATATTCCTCAGATCCCAAAATGGTTGCAGAGGGGCCTGCACTGGCCTCGAGCCCGGCAGTTCAGTTTGAAAAGTATTGGTTCTAAAATACAGTGACCAGCCACGGCCAACAAGATTGAAGTTTTTGCATTCCAATCCATTTAATTTGGTTTTATGCCAAAACTCACAGGCTGTATTAGCTTTCAGATGTGATACAGTATTGTAGTGTGTGGAACAAGACTTCACATGTTTTGCTTTGTTTACCGGAGGATTTAAGAGGTGCAGACCCACCCACTGACTAGCATCCTGTTTTTCTGTCACCTTCCTCCTGGGTGAACTGCCCGCCTCTGGGGTTCTTGCTCCGGGCTGGGCCGGTGGGCGAGCCCACCCATGCTGGGGGCATCTGCCTCCTGCTGGGATCCGGGGGTTGTTGCGGTAGATTGTTGGGGGGGGGGGGCGCCTGGCTCAGGCAGTGTGAGGTCACATGCCGGGATCATTATGGGCAGGCCTGACTCGCCTCCTCTTGCCAGGCAGGGCCCCTGGGAGGGGAACAGGCAACCAGAGGGCGTGGTAGAGCGAGGCCTGGCCTAGAAGAGGACCCGCCCATTCACCAGAGAAACATCAAGCTTAATCTCCTGCCGACTAGCCGCTCTGCAGTTCCACTCAGGCCTCCCCTCTGGCCGCCCCCTCCTTCCCTTATCTCTACCACTGCAAGTAAACGTGGCCCCCACAGGGGCTGTGTGCGGTCCCTGGGGCAAGTCGGCCACAGCGTTGGACCCTGTGCCCTAATGACAGCCTGAGTCCTCCTGATGTGCTTGCCGTCCTGGTCACTTTTCTCATCTTGGACAAAATGCCTGACCCTTGCACTTTAGGAGAGGTTTACTTTGGCTCAGGGTCAGGGTCCGGGTTGGCTGGCTCCAGGGCGGAACTGGCTGGAGGGAAGGGCACGGCAGAAGAAAGCTGTTCACCTCAGGGTAGGCAGGAAGTTGAGGGGGAAGGAAGGCAGGAGCTAGGGAGGGTGGTGCGCCCTGCAGAGTGAGACGCATCTCTCCCTCGGCTAGCTGCTGCGTGTCCAGTGACCTCGCCTTTTTTAGGTCCAGGACCTGCTTGAGGTGACAAAACCATTGCTCTTCTCCCAAAGCAGTCGCACACCTTCCCTGATTTCTCTGCATTCCCGATTTCTCTGCACCGTTTTCGTGGCCGTCCTGAAGGCTGCACGGGCCCTCTTTGGGGTTCTGGCCCCTGTTGAAAATTTAGCCTGCCCACGCTGTTGGGTGAGTTGTTGGTGCCATCCAGACCCATTCTGCTTACTTTATTTTTGTTGAGAATCCAGACCAAAGTCTGCAGGCAGGGATTCTTGGTTCAGCATCGGGTTTTCATTAATTTCAGTTAATTAAGGTCAACCTGCCCTCCTGTGCCAGAACAATCAAGAATAGTCTGTTTCCTCCCCTCCGGGGGTTTTAACTCTGTCATCTTGTTTCTCAGCTCCATGGGCCACAGTTGGATTAATTCTAGGTCCTCCTTTTGTGTGTAGGAATCAAATAGACCTGTACTATGTATTGTAAGAATGCCTGATGTGTCAGCAAATACATTAATTTTGTATTTTCTCTACTGTATTATTTTTTAATGAAATCAAAGAATGACAAATGAGTCCTCCGAGTCATGAAATATTTACCTTGCTTGCTTCTGGAGCACTACGATGCCTTTTCCTTCCTGTGCCCCAGGGATGAAGAGTGGAAAGAGCTCTGGATATCGTGATTATGAACTCCCAACCAGTGGTCAACCCGAGAGCTGTTCCTGCCTGATTAGCCGAAAATGCTAGGGTTTGGAGGGAACTGACGATCCTGTAGTGCTGTTTTCCTGTTTAATTCACAAAGTTCGCAAAAATTATTTTGTCTCATTTCTGGAACATACTAGTCGATTAAGTGAAAAATATACTCATGAATTTAAACTTTAAAATTTCTATTTGATTTGATTTGTAAAAAATTAATAGCATTGTAAATTTAGAAGTTAAATTATCTTGGAAGAATTTTTATTTAAATCTGCTTATGAGATATTGGTGTTTTTAGGAATAAAATCAGTTCTGTCCGAATTCTGCTTAAAATGGTGATGATAGTGATTTTTTAACATGGATTTCAGGGCTTTCGGATGGGTAGTGAAAAACACACACAGAATACCTAAAAACATTTAAGGGACACAGAATATTCCTGACTCCTCAAAGGCCAGGTGGTTTAAGAACAAGATAAAAAATTTCACTGGAAGACTAGAGGGAATGAAAGGTAAGCCATTTACAATTGAGTAACACAGGTGTTTTGTAATGGTTGCTCTGCAGGCCAATTTTTCCCCCTTCTTTTTGTTGTGAATAACTGTGCCACCATGGGACCATTTGACGGCAGTCATGCTGTGTTTTCAAGGTCATGTCAGAAAGACACTGCTCTATGTTCACTGCGGACTCTGGCTGATGGTATTCAGTCCCCTCACTTCCTCTTCCACTAAACCCTTCACTCAAGAAACCAGCAAGATCTGTAGTGACAGGAAGCCAGGGCCATCCTACAGAGAACATGGCCATGTCCACATCCTGTTACTCAGTAATCTTTAGATAAACGAGGTGACCGTCTGTCAGGAGGGTTTCTCCAAAAGATTTGTGAACCAGGGGCAAAGGCCCGCGTGTCTGAGCTAGCCAGAGCCGGAGGGCTGAGGACAGTCCCTGGACGGTGTCTGCTGCCCACCCTGGAGTGTGGTGCTGACCCCCTGCAGGCTTCACTTCCCCGAGGGCTTCGGTCAATTGTGAATGTGTCCGGGCCTTTTCCCATGCCCTTGGGAGTAAGCAGCATTTGGGATTCTCCCAGTCAGGAACAGGTGTGCGTGGAGGAAACGATCGGTTGAAATTCCCACCGAGCTGCCTGGTGCCCATAGTGGTACCCGGTATTACCAGTGGACACGGTCACACCGGGCGAGGGCTTCTCATCGGGGAATCCAGGCCCTGAATCAATGCACCTTTGAATGCACTGGTTAAGGGACAGACCCCAGAGGTACACAGACGTGCTGGTCTGATGGAACTGCCTCTCGGCCCCTAGGAAATGCTTTCCGGCGTCGTGGTCCTCTCCAGTAGGGACTCTGTCCAGCACCAAGGAGTGTCCCTGACGATGGAAGGGACTGTGAACCTCCAGCTCAGCGCGAAGAGTGTGGGTGTGTTCGAAGCTTTCTACAATTCTGTGAAGGTAAGGAAGGATGCTCAGCTGGGTTTCAAGTGCTGATGGGGGTCTCCACTTGCCTTTGTTCTTTTCCAAGAAATGTGGTCCCCATCCTTTTAGTACTTACTAATTAAACTGAAGACATTCAGATATTTATTTCTAAATATTGCCTGTTATCTCCTGTTTGTTCTTGGTGGTTTTTTTGGTTTTTCTGGTACCAGGGATCGAACTCGGGTCCTTGCACTTGTGAGGCAGGCGGCGGCACCACTGAGCTAAATCCCCGGCCCCTCCTGCTTGTTTTTATTCCTGCTTGATACTTAGGATTAGGACAGCTGTGGATAGACTAATTTTATCTTTAGAAAGCTCTCCTGAGAAGTTGCTTAAGGTACTTGCTGTCCTACATCAAAACTCTTCTTAGCTGTGTATATTGCTCTTGTTGGATTTGACAGTAAGGCATGGTCCACAAAGCAAGTCGCTTTTCTTTTGTGTCATTTAGGGTAGTTTTGTGTTCCACAATGTAAACTACCTAAACTCACTGTTTCCTTTTCCTGAGGGCCATGTCAAGTCTTTAATTGAAAAGAAGAGTTAAGAGGGAAGAGAGTGCTTAACAGTGTTCAGATTTAGGAGCTTGTCATGTCCTTGCAAACATCTTATTTTAATTCATTAGCACTTAGAGATTCCTTTCTATGCCATGAGTTTTCTCAGGGTGATGGTAAAGCCACGCTGGAAGAGCACGCATGTTATACTCAGGGTTTGCAAGGGAATAGACTTAATACAGGACACATAATTTATAAGATTATAATATTCACCTAAAAAATCAAATGCAGAGGAGTGCAAGAGATCTTCCCAGGCACTAAAGAACCAGAGAATCCAGCTGAGGGCCTGGATCTCAGGGCAGTGTCCAGCCAGAGCCTAGAGCCCATGGCGATGTCTCATGGGAGTCCATATTGAGGATCTGCACCGGGAAGGCCCAACGGTCAGTGGTGGAAGCCAGAAAGCCCGTGCCGGCCACCAGGGTGAAGGGTCTGTGCCACCAGGCTGAGGGACCTGGACTGGAGCCAGGAAGCGATGCTCAGGGCAAAGACCAGAGCTCCCCCAAGAGAATAGCAGCCATTCCTGCGCTAGCAAGGACTCGAGCTCCTCTAACAATAAGAACAGCCCAGTTCGTATCAGGAAAGCCAGCCACAACAACGCTTCTCCTGGGAAATCGGCATGCAATCTTCCTTCCCATTCTTGTTTTATGCCGTTCTGGCAGCGATCCTCAGGTGGGTCTTCACGCCCACACCCACGCTGGCTCAGTTTAGCTGGGTGTTTCCACTTAAGTTAACCATCAGTTAATCCATCCACCACAGTCTACACCTGGTCAGCTTGATAACCAGACACATTGCTTTAAACTATAATCTCCAGTAGCAGATTTGTGAAAAGCTAACATGATTTACATTAACAGTTACATGTAGCCGGGGATTTAGCTCAGTGGTTCTGCCGCCTGCCTCACAAGTGCAAGGTCCCAACAAGGTCCCAAGTTCGATCCCCAGTACCAAAAAAAAAAAAACAGTTACATGTATAAAATTCTTACTGCACTCATTCCCACACCAAAAAGAAATATTCAAAGGGTTCTCAAAATTCAAAGTTAAAATCCACAATGTTTTGGCTAAATAAGCTGATTACAAACAAGTGTCTTAAAACTACAAAACCACTTTATTCCACAATCTTTTTTAAAAACTCATTTAATACTAAACAACCATTAAAATACCAAAAAGCAAGTAACAAGAAAAATCACACCCACAAATAAAAAACAATATGTTTACAAAGTGCAATATGCCAATACAGTGCATCCACATTAAAAAATATGGCTTCAAGCTTTAAAACCCCTTCGGTTTTCATTTATGTACATGATTTGGCAGTACTTAAAAACCAGTGTTATATACATCAACATCATATTACGACAGTAAAATCATAATAGGAGAGAGCTGTTAAAATCTTAATACTTGCTTCCCATTAACTTTAACAGCAGGTGCAGCAACACTAAGATGCCCCAAGGGATCTCCTGCACTCCACATACACTCTTCCCATCTGGTAAAAGACCTCAGGTCATTTCTTTTCTCTAGGACCACATTGTCCTGCTTCATCCTTGCAATCCACAGCTACACCGCCGCCTCCCCTCTGGCCAGATTGAAGAAGAAAAAAAAACTGCTTCACATCATCCTGCTGCCTTTCTGTTCTTGTTCCCAAGATAGATCCGGCCACACACACCCCCGCCCCCCCAGTAACCATGCCCTCATCCCAGTACTAGACTGCATTGAAATGTTTCTGCCACCCAGGCAGTATCTACACACAAGCAAAGAGCAGAACAACTTTCTGCCAAAGCACAGCACATGCCACTGGGATCCAGCACCCAAACCAGTGCTTTCAACAGCAGCCTCCTGAGCCTCACCCTAACCGCCTGTATTCCCATCAGTTCACTGGTTTTCCAGGCTCAGACCAGCCTCTCATAGTTTAGAGCATTCCAGGGCTGCCTCTTTGGCCCCTCGTTCAAAACCTTTCCAAATTAACTCCAGAGGCTGTGAAGCCACATGACCAGGCAACATCACAGCAGTGACCCTACCCTCTGTACCAGTTTTGTTGTAGTCAGGCTTGGCAAAGGAATAGATTTATTACAAGACACAATTTATAGGATTATTTTATAATACTCACCTAAAGAGTCAAATGAAGAGGAGTACGAGAGATCTTTCCACGTGCTAGGGACCTGAAGAATCCAGCCGAGGGCCTGGATCCCATGGCAGTGTCCTGCACAAGTCCAGCTAAAGGCCCAAGACAGTGTCCTCCACTAATCCAGCTGGAGGCCTAGGGCCCCTGGCGATGTCTCATGCAAGGCCGTTTCGTGGATCTGCACCGGGAAGGGCCAAGCGAGGGCCAGGGGTGGAAGCCAGAAAGTCTGCGCCAGCAGGGTGAAGGGTCTGTGCCATCAGGATGAGGGACCTGCACTGGAGCCAGGAAGTGACGCTCAAGGTGAAGACCAGAGTTCCCCCAAGAGCAGGCAGCCATTCCTGGTGACACTGAGGATCCGAGCCCTGATGATGACGGAGGAAAACCAGCCAAGCGGCAAGCTTCTCTAAGAAAATCAGCTGCATTCGATCTTCCCCTGCAGTTCTCCCTTTATCCGTTGGCAGCAGTCCGCAGGTGGGTCTTCCACGCCCACAGCCACGCCAGCTCAGTTCAGCTGGGCGGTCCCACGCAAGTTGGCGGTCAATTAGTCCACCGCAATGCAGGTGCGCAGAGTTAGCATTGCCTTCCTCCCTGGAGGCCCCACTGAAGGATTGTGTGGCCTCAGGGCTGGAGGAGAGGCCCACCCTGCCCACGCAGCCGAAGGAGGCTGCGCCTACCTGGAGCCAGGCAGCTTGATGTTAGTGGGCCAGGGCCGCACATTGCCTCCGGGCCAGGCAGCTATATGGCACTGTGTCCACCTTTGCATTCTGCAGATCCAGGTTGTCAGGGAAGTGAAATGAGCTATTTGGGCAGGAGAGAGGGATGTGTGTAAATGAACCCTTACTGCATCAAAAAATTAAAAACTGGAACCAACTCAACCAGGCATGATGGTCTACACCTATAATCCTAGCACTCTAGAAGGCTGAGACAGGAAGATTGCAAGTCAGGCCCAGCCTAGGGAACTGAACTTAGTGACACCCTGTTTCAAAATGAAAAATAAAGGGTTGGGGGCATAGCTCAGTGCAGAGGCCCTGGGTTCAATCCCCAGTACCACCAAAGAACAAAGGTAACAATTCTCAGCACTCATCCCCAGACCCAGGACTTGGCTGCCGGAGACACCAGGAAGAGCTAGTGGCAACCGGGAGCCCAGGTCGCTGTGTCTTCAGGATGAGGGTAGCAGACACTGTCACTTGAGGGGTTATCTAAGGTACGTGTGATGGTCTGAGTTGATTTTTGTTTACAGCCGATCCAGATTATCAACAGCACCATAGAAATGGTGAAGCCAGGAAAGTTTCCCAGTGGCAAAACAGAAATTCCTTTCGAATTTCCTCTGCACGTGAAGGGCAACAAAGTCCTCTATGAGACATATCATGGCGTGTTTGTCAACATTCAGGTGAGCTTCCTAGTCTGCGTCATTCGAGGCCTTTGTCATTTTCCTGCCAAAAACCACCTTGCTCTTCCCTTCACTGAAAATTATCCCATGGTCCCAAGCATTGAATATTCAGTTTATTGCTGAGCCCTCACGTGTACTGTGTTCTGTCTTGATTTCTCACTTTGCTCTGCTAACTACATTTTGTGTGTGACCGTTAGTTTTGACAAGAACCATGCTGTAACTTCTGTAAGAGCCTTTGAACTTTTCTCGGGACACATGGACACTTCAGGGCACTTTGATGATTGGGTAATAGATATGCCCTGACTTCTTTCTGGCACCAGCACGTAACTTGTCTATTTTACTCTTATAAATATCTCTTTGTTTAATACCCAGAGGCGACTACTGCCTTCGCATAGGCTTGCGTTCTTCATTGAGCAAGCCTTCTAAATTAGGGGAAGTGGATTTATGACTTCCCGTCCACCTCTGCTGGATCGGGATGGCTTCACAGCTGCCATTGTTGTCTTTGGAGCAAAGCGGAGTCATGACTCGGAGCTAGAGAAAGCCTTCCCTTTATTCCTCAGAAAGAAAGGTACTTTTGTGCTGTCCACCACACAGTGGCTCCTTTGCCAGATGAGACACAGTCCGCCGTCTTCTGTATGTGCGAGAGGGCTCATAAAGTGAGGAATTTGTAAGTTGTAATTGATAACTGAGATTTGGTAGCTACCATTCTCCTCCTTAGAATACCACACCTTTTAAATGAAAATGCTCAAATCACAGGGAAGTTTAAGGAAAGATTTGTCTGCATGTGAGTTTCGTGAGTTGTCTAAGACATCACTCAAGTGTCAGATGATGTGCTCTATTTCTGCGAAGAAAACCACGAGTCCAGGGCTCTTTGTTAGTGCACCTGTTTCCGGCTGGACAGACAGACACGCACACCCAAGGGGCTTTGGACAGCCCCCGAGAACAGCTCCAGGAGTGATGAGGACGGTGTCTAGCTCTAAAGGAAGCCACTTGTGCAGACAGACCATTCCAGTCACCCGTCCAGACTGCCTCTGACCAGCTCGCTGACGGGACTGTTCCACCACAAAGAAAGTGAATGGAAACAAAGAGCAAGCCTGAAACCATCTCCAGTGCTTCATTTTGAAAGTTACTCTTATCATCACTCTAGAATCAGCATCACTTACTTCATGCCCAAAGTAGTTATTCCATACTAGTTATTTAATAATATAAAGATAGGTTCATACGAAACTGAAAGGAATACAATCAGGGTTTTACTGGTCATACTTGTTAGTCTCTTATCTGTACCCACCCCCAAAATACCTCACGGATTTCTGCAAAGGAGATTTCTTAGCTTAACCTCAGATTTATCGGAGCATATCTCCCTGACCCTTATCACTGTCCAACATTTATTAGTATTTTGCCCTTTTTGATTTTGATGTTGACTTCCTGGTGCTGGAGATGGAACCCAGGGCCTGTGAGTGCCAGGCAGGTCCTCGCCACTGGCCCCGCCCCAGCCCGCCTCCAGCTTTCCATCTGTCTGTACTTACTTCCTCCTGAGTCACTTCAGAGTTGGAGTCTTGACGCACTTCATGTGAAAGCATGTCAGTGTCCATCCCCTGTAGGGAAGAATAAGATCAGTGAACATTTTCATACCTGTCAAAATAAATGTAAATCCTCAAATAACATCAGTTCCCAGTTCACACTCAAATTTGTCATTGCTTCTTCTGAGCAAATGTGTTTCCTAGGAGAAACTAGGATTGTGGCTTTCTGATCTATTCTGTCCATCCACGTGTTAATTCAGTTACGTACTTGACAGGTCTCCTTCTAGCGTCCTCTGGTGGTCACACGGCTGACCCTGATGTAGGATGCCCACGGGCTGTCGTCCCTTCTTGGCACCCATTGCTTGCTGTCTTACTCTGAAGATTATCATTGGTACCTTGCTTTGGATAAAAGCTTTGTTGTTAACCCCTAACGTCTTATTTCTCCAGTTATATAGATACAAAGCAGTTTGCCCATTTGTAATTTGAATTGTGTTGCGGTAACATCATGTAAAAAATCGCAAGCCAGAATAAAGAATTTGAAATGTGGGCCGGGGATTTAGCTCAGTGGTTCCGCCGCCTGCCTCGCAAGCGCAAGGACCCGAGTTCAATCCCCGGTACCAAAAAAAAGAAGAAAAAAAAAGAATTTGAAATGTGACTGGTATTAAATTCCTAACTCACAGGAGCTTGGTTTACTTCACTCTGTTTGCTTGTAATCTCTTAGCTGAAGGTCTCATGAATTTTGCTTTTACTCTTTTCAGTCATGTTGAGCTCATTTTTCATCTTTATTTATTAGGTACTGTGTATAAGAAACTGTCAGTCTTTTCTAGTTTTTTGTGCAGCTGCTTTTTCTTTTAAATAGTATTTAAATCCTGGGTGAGTTTTATTATGTTTGTTCTAGTGTGTGGCCATGCTAGCAAACATTTGCACTGCCATACAGAATATAGCAGCACTACCATGTCTGCTGAAGCTGCATGTTAAGAATTAATTGAGAGATTCCAGTCATCCTTCTTCACAGTTAAAAATGCCCTCTGTGGGAGTCTGACTTAGCTCTGTGGGCAGGCAGCTCTCTGTTCCTGCGGATGTCCCGTTTATTGACAGCCAGGTCAGATCTAGTCCTGCACTCCCTTTGGGTGCCTTGCGGAAGTCAGACATCTCGATGCCTTCTGACCTCTGGTAGCTCCTCACTGGTGGACCCCTCCGTAGTTCCTGGTAAGATCACGATGAAGTGAGACACCCTGGGGCTTGAGTTATAGTCCTGGTCAGGGCTCCATGCAAGTCTAGGCAGGTGTCAGTGCCAGTCCCACCTTGCCCCTCTGGATTCATGAGGGACCTATGGGCAGGGCCTGGCCGTTTCTGGCCCATAGATTCTGCTCAGTGATTGTCTGCCCAGTGATGGGTCCATGAGCTAATGATGGCCGTAGTAGCCTAGCAATCCTTGATTGATACTGTTAGAATTAATTCAGATGTGTGCAGACCGCAACACCATTCATGAAACGTACTGTCAGTGTTTGCCTCTTTGCCGTGTCTTTCTCTCTTCCCTCCCGGTCATGAGCTGCCCTAAATTACTAATTGTTGTTCTCAGACTTAACAAGTAGCAGCAGAGCTGATAGCACTAATTCACACCCTTCCGTTCACAAATTACAGAAGTCCGACTCAGTTTGAATTAGGCAGAAAAAGACATTGGATCATGAAGCAGCTGTTGCAGAAAACAGCATAGCCAGGGTGGTGACCAGGGCCCACTTCCTGTCTCAGGGCCGCTTTCCAGTGTGCCAGCTTCCTCCTCGGGTCTGACTTTCCTTTGCCGCAGCAGGCACTTAGGGGAGGTCAGCCTACCCACACTCGAGACTAAAAATGAGGGAGGGCAATTTCCCCCTGGAGAAAGAAGCAGAGAGACCAGCAAGCCAGAACAAACCATGACTCCTGCTAGACAGCAATGGCAGGTGCAGCAGGAAGACAATGCAAGTACGGGGGTGATTGAAAACTACAGTGAATGTTTATATTTAAAAAGGATTTATTATAGTAAACACATTGCCATGAATCCTCTTCAAAATACTTCTGCTCACTTTGAATACACGTCCCATCGTCCTTACCACTTTCTGAAGCAGCTCTGAGTCCTCTTTCCTGAGTGTCTTTACAAGGTGTGATCAAAAATACGGTGGCTGCAGCTGCTAGATGCCATCCAATGGGAAGGCAGGCTCATAAGGTATGACTCTATGTCCTCATCCACCTTAGTCACTGGATCTGGCACCATGGGGCTTCCGGCTGTTCCCCAAAGTCAAAATGACCATGACAGGGAACCTTTTTAAATGGATTCAGGATATCAAGACAGTCACAACAGTACAACTAAAGATGCAGGGAAGGACTTCCACAACTGCTTCAAAAAGTGGCAAGAACAGTGGGATAAGTGTTTTTGATATGAGGGGGAGTGTTTTGAGGGCAATTAATGGCAATGTCTTTAACTGTAATAATTTATTTAAACACACACTGTATTTTGGGGGTTTTTTGTTTTGTTTTTTTGGCACTGGGGATAGAACTCGGGTCCTTGCGCTTGCGTAGCAGGTGGCGGAACCACTGAGCTAAATCCCCGGCCACACACTGTATTTTTGGATCACACTGTATACATGTCCGTCCATATCCATATATAATACCAGCCCTCACTGAGTTTGTCCAGTTGGGGAGACCAGTTTCAAAGCTCACTGGAGAATACAGTATATACCTACATAGACATGGATGTTTTGGCCCTTGTAGACAAGTGATAATTCTTATGGAAAGTGTTTCATCTCCCAGTAGTACCTTAAATGTGTAGGAACTTATTTCATGTGGACAGGTTGTTGAGAAGAATCAGCTGCTCTTAAGATTCACACATGTGCATCTATTCCTAGGGATGAAAATGATCTTGGGTGCAGTTCTGCAGCTGTTCCTGGGTGCTGGAAGGAGCAGCAGCCCCCGAAGCATGTGTGCTGTGCCGTGTGTGGGGAGCAGTGCTGGGATGGTGCCAGCCCTCATGCGCACTCTGCACGCCTCTCCAGCTCACCTGCAGCCCAGGCCCTGATGACTATTTCTTCAGATTGGCCTGCAGACTGCCATGTTCATCCTGTAGGCATTTGTGTTTAAACAGCCCCTGGGCTCACAGTCGGGTGAGGCCGCATCCACAGTTGGAAGCTGGCTTTGTTAAGCCCAGTGCCCAGCAAGACAGGGCCCTTCTGCTTCTGGCACCAGCAGGGCCCAGCCTGGTAAAATAACCCGGGCTGCAGAGGAGGCGACCAGGCGGTTCAGAGCCAGTGTGATGCCGCGTCCTGCCCATCTGCTCTCTGTGCTATGCACAGGGGCCATCTGGGCTTGGCAGTGAGGGAAGGGCTAGAGGACAAGTGGATAATGAGATGCCCTGGGCTGGCCGCTGTGGGAGCTGGCTCTTTGAGGTGGGGGCTGGGTTACACTGTTCTCTTTACTTTACTACATATTAAAGGTTTGGGGTTTGGG